TAAATAGCTGACCAGTTACTAGCCTGTTACCAATCTACATACACATCACTATTATCCTTTTCTTTTAAAACTTGTGAAACCATGCAAGTGCAAAACAATGTCACAAACGCAGACCTTTAATGATTCATTACACACAGTTTAATTTTCATTAAAGGGATCCAAGGCCTTCACAAAAGGGTTGACTCTTGGTAGCTATACAGTACTAACACAACACACAACAACAAAAACAACACAAAGGACTTGTGTGAACGAGTGAAAACACAAATAAATAAGGGCCGAAAGACATTTCGTATGAGATGCATCAATAAAACCAATAGTCAGAGGAAAGTGAGCAGAGGTTCAAACTCTGCAGATTACAGCAACAGCTTTTTGTACAATACTTGATTTCATTTCTGATAGGAGCTGATTGTCTGTAGCAGCTTGTTTTGGTCATGCACATTTGTTAAAGCCATTGCTGTTGTATTGACAGTGTTGCATTAACTTCACAGTTATTTACCTCTACTTCCAGCTTTGATTGTCTCTTGAGTGTTTGCACTATGTTTTTGTACTGATTGTCATAGGCTAATAAATATTTATGATGTGGTGTATCGTGTATATATCACTGCAAACTTTGTTATGGAATTGCTTCTGATTTCTTGATTGATTGAATAAAAAGATTACATCCACAGCATATAGAATAGAGACAAAATGTAGCTGATTTACAGTTTGCCCCCCAAAAATCTGCTAATGGCATTTTTATTATTGTGTAGACTGATTTTATGATCAGCCAGTACTGACATCAGCATTACTAATCAAACTTGTGCTTTGAGAGTGAATGAGCCTACAGCATGCTACATTCTTCCCTCCAATAACATCTGACAATATTTCACACTTATCTTCATCATACACAGATGTCTGTACAAAAATATGTGGTCTCAGTGTAATGTTGCTGGCAGGAGAGGCAGGATTTACACTTGTTATGGTATGTTTTGTTTTTTTGTTTTTTTGTTTTTAGTTTCAGTACAAGTGATTGCTGTAAGCAAGTCTAAAATCTTCACAGTAGCCTCACACAGCTTATGCTTAGCGAACAAGCTAGCTATCACAATATCTTTGAGCTGCTCAAGTAACAAGAAACTGTGGTTACACTTCACAATACACCTGACATATGCTGGCCTTAAGGATTGATCTTAAAGCTGAAGGGTAGAAGTAAAGTCAGGTATAATTTAAAACTCAAAGCAATCTCCTGCACCCTTTTTTGATAAACGATCCGAGTGCTTGTGGTGGATGGTTGACCTCTGGGAGGATGGTTTCGCTGGAGGTTAAAAGCAAGTTTTGCTGTTAAAGCGATAGAGTCCTCTTGCAAATATTGTAGGGTCATCACCTTACAACATAAAACCCCTTGAGATGGCTTCTGCTGTCAACTGGCACTATTTAATTAAACTGAACAGAATAAACAACATTTTTGCAACATAATTCTAAAATGTAAACACTTTTTTTTTTTCGGAAATGTGTATTGAGCTTTAGGAAGACCAGTATTTTCCTCTTTGTTCTTTTTAGTGCTTTGGCTTGGATCATATATACTTATAAAAGAAAAAGCCAGACTGTGTAATGGAATTTTGGAAGGTTTCAAAGCTAAGTCTTAAAT